TGTGTGCTGAGTCTTTTTTCTTAGAGTTCTCAATATAGTTTACTGCACCAGTTTTGTGTTTTTTGGCGTATTTATTTTAGCCGTTTTTTGAAAAAAGTGATCAGCAGAAAGAGTTTTGTTGATCATGTTATTAAAACTATTAATATTACATATATATTAAAACTGTTAAAGAATTATATCTATTACAATTGAATCTAATATAAATAATTTAATTTGTAACTAATTACAAATAAATGAAATTTACTTAGATCAGACACTATCTCTACTGATTATCTAATTATTCAGATGAAATCAGTTATAATAAAACCAATTATAATAAAACCAATTAATCAATTAAAGGTAGTTATAATAAAAATGATTAATTGGATTAAAAATTTTATAATTAGTTATAATTTATAACCAGTTATATTTAGTTATAAATCCAATTACAATAACTAGTTCCAATTTCTAGTTATTTCTTCAAAATGCAAAATTAATAAATAATAACATTATTTTAAAATACCAATTTAACCTATTCTATCTATCTGTATTTTATATAAATTTTATTTTTAAACATTACAAAATCACTTATATTATACCTTTTCAACAAACTTCAAACTCAACTGTAATGAATATTTCTCTATTTACAGTTATCTCTAAAAATTACTTCAACAATATTGTTAACAAACTACCTAAATTACCTATTACTAAACAACAATAAAATCTTTAATTAACTTTACAAATTCTATTATCTTTCTTTCATACAGATAAATCACCTGTAACAATCATTCCATATTCTTAACATTATTACTCATGCACTCTATATAAACAAAAAGATATCTCATGTGTTCTTATCCAAGAAACATGACATGCATCTAACTATTCTAAAACTATAATTTTTAAAAACTTTTTATTTCATTGAAATTGTGTTCACAATTTCCAATATACTAAACTTAAACTTCTTTCTCAAAAAAAAGACTCACAAAAGAACTAAATTGAACTTTATTTTTTAAAAATATTCAATTCAGTTCAGTTCATAAAAATCCTATTTTGAACTTTTTACAAGAGAAAAAAAGATCAGTATTTAGTATTTTTTTGAAGGAATGAATATATGATACCAATTTTTACCATATTTTTGGTATAAGGCATTAAGGTATATTGATTTTGTATGAGAAATCAATTACGTACTTGCTTTATTAAAACCTTGGCTTTTATACACGTATGCCTTTATAACGATAGATTCCAGCTTCTTTGAAGTGTTTGGTGACATATTAGATTACGTAATAAAGGCGGCATTATATTTAACACACTTGACTTAATTATTTACCATTTATTAATCTTTTTTTTTTTTTAGTATATAATAGGTTATCGTCATCTTGTAAAATGGTTTTTCGATGTTTTTTGTTATATATTTTTTTTAAAATAGTATTGTTTATTTTAGAATTAGCGTTTTTCATTAGTTATAAAGTTTTTGGATTTTAAAACTAAAACTTTTGTAAGAATACGATTTATTAATAAAATTGAATTAGGAATATACGTAATATTTTTAAATGAATCGTTTGATATTAAATGTTAATAAACCTGTTTTTTGATTTGTTTTAGCGTTAGTATTCAAAGTTTTATTGATAATATAACAACGTTGACATTAACTTTCAAAAAGATAACAATACAAGTATTATATCGTATTAGTTCGAAACAAAGAATATCACTGCATTGTGATTGATCATAATTTTTACGTTAAACATAAAGAAAGTATAAAATGAGTCACATTCAAAATTCAGAAAGGCTTTTGCCAAAGGCAAAGGAATCTAGGAAATAGTTACCAGGACGTATACGAGTAAAACATGTAGCTGTTATCTATGTAAATTGATTGTCTATAGTTCTGTAAATCATCTGTTACCGTATTTTCACGCATGGCCGTGATTTAGAAAATCGCATTCCCTCAAAATAGTATGTGAGGCTTTAAAATAACGTCCGTGCGCGACCCTAAATAACGCGCATCCAATATACACAGTATCGGTGATATAAGTACTGGTTTTCTCTTGGCACTACTGCTTATATATAATGCTCACATTGTCGTTACTTAGAAAAACAGGTTTATTAAGAAATCAATCTTTATCTCGAAATAATGCCCATGCGCGTACTTTAATTAACTCGAAAAGACGGTATAAATTAAATATCGTTTAGGATATATGCTTACAAATAGTTTATTAGTTTAAGACATAGCTTTAATTGAAAACACTGGGTTGTACTGAGATTATATTAAAAAGGTGGGTTGAATGATTATTATTATTATTATTATTATTATGTTTAAAAAAAAAACATCTAGCACAAAAATTTCTATCCAGTCAACTATGAGATTAAAAATGAGTTTTAATCAAAATTAACAAAACGTAAATTTGCGAAACGGAATAAGATTGAATACAACTTCAGGATTATAGTCATTTACATTATTAGGTCTATTAATACATCGAGGTTCTTTCTTATAAATACTATCTATTTCAAAAGTTTCGGCAATTAAGAATGTTATATTAGGCTATGCAAAATTAATTAGGTTTTCATAACCCAGCCAGGCCAAATTTTGAAAACTTTTTTTTAAAAAAAATTGTTTTAATAACCAGGTGGATTTTTAAGTCGGCAGGTCATATCTATTTAACGGTCTCATGTTATGAAAACCAAGACATTAAATCTGTATTGCCTTATATATTCTATGTCAACTTAATCTGTACTTTAATTTATGGATTATCTTTCACCTATATAACCATCCTGTTAAACAAAAAAAAAATAATCAGTATTTATTCCAAATTAATTGTTTGAGACTTAAGCAAACATATACCTTTTCAAGCAACAAGACTATTTGGTGACAAATATCACTAATACTTTGTTCGCTTGGATCAACTACAATGTCTGCATCTGTTGGTATTTCATATGGGTCATCAACACCCGTAAAACCTTTAATCTCTCCAGATTGTGCTTTCTAAAGTAAATTAGAAGGTTGAACAATTTACACCAAAATAAACCGCACAATTTTTAGTTAAAGAATAAAAGAAATATATATATATACCTTGTAGATACCTTTTCTATCATTTGAAATACAGTATTCTAGAGGTGAATTAACATGAATCAAATAGAACCCACCATACTGTTCTATCGTTTGTCTTGCATGAGCTCGTGCATCTGCAAACGGAGCGATCGGCGCAGCAATAACAGCAGCACCGGCTTTTGTAAGTTCTGCAGAGACAAACCCTATACGAGCGATATTTTGATCTCGAGCTTTTCTAGAGAAGCCCAATTCTATTAAAAATATAAAGTTAAATTATTTACTTGTAACTTTTATGACAACGGCACTCTTAAAAAAAAAAGAAGCTTACCAGACGAAAGTTCGCTACGCACGATTTCACCCAATAACAAACTTACTGATCTTCCACCTTGTTGATTAAGTATAACTTGTAAAGCTTTAGCAATTAAATCTTTACCAGAATTATAATAGCCAGTAAAGAACAAAGTAAAGCCTTGTTTGGATCTTGGAGGATGTGTTTCTTGAAGTACTTTTACAACTTCAGGATATGAAAACCATCCTGGAATATGAAGGCCACCTCTAAGACGCCTTCGTAATTCAGTGCCCGAAATGTTTAATGTTTGAGTACCTTTTGGTATTTCATCAATTGGCATATATTCATCAGAATCAGGAATATAAGACATCATTTGGAATGGTACAACTTCAATTTGTAATTCATCTTTGTATTTTCCAACGAGTACCTAGTTTTAATTCAAATATTGATAAATTATCAAGAAACAAATAATTCAAAAAAAATTGTTTTTATAAATAAAATTTATTTACCTGTGCATCGTAAGGACCATAAAAATCCACGCCTTTCGAATTCTTTCCAGGACCAGCATGATCTCTACCAATAATAAAATGCGTAGCACCAAAATTTTTTCTGATAATTGCATGCCAAAGAGCTTCTCTCGGACCGCCCATTCTCATTGCTAAAGGTAATAAGCCAAGAGTAGCCATTCCGTTAGGATATTTTGGCATAAGAGCTTGATATACACGAACTCTCGTATAATGATCGATATCACCAGGTTTGGTTAAACCGACTACTGGATGAATGAGAACATTTGCTTGTCGAATTCTCGCAGCCCTAACAGTTAATTCACGATGAGCGCGATGCATTGGGTTCCGAGTTTGGAAAGCTACAACACGTGTCCAATTAAGTTTTTTGAAATGAGCTCTAAGTTCAGCTGGTGTAACTATTAAAAAAAAAATTTAATATTCAACTTTTTTTTTTTATAGGAATGTAAGGAGATTAGAAAATGCAAAATAAATATATACATCTATGAGATATATAGTCATAATGAGTAGGAGCTTGGATCGCTTCAACATTTCCACCAACATAGTATTCCTTAACATTGTTGTGAAGATATTTTACACTAGGATGAGCAAGATCATTGTCTCCGAAAACCTTTATGGCTTCCTCAATTTTATTTGGTCGATAAATATCTTGAATGGTTAAAATGGCTAGTTTTGCATCATCTCGAGGATCACGCAATACTACACGCTTATTTGGAGCAAAATCCAATGCATTAATATCTGATTCTGAGACATCCAAAGTGATAGGAATCGAAAACAGACAACCATTTGTTAGTCGAAGATCGTTTACAACACTAATGTTATAACAAAAGTATGGAAAAAAAACAATTAAACTAGTATGCACAATTATCGAACGAGAACACATTAGAATAATGGAAATTGGGGAAAACCAACCTTTGGTAGTCAGATTGGTTCATAAATCCTTCCAAAGGAGAGAAACCACCGTTCATGATAAGCTCTAAATCACATAGTTGACGGTCAGTCAACACAATAGAAGGTAAATTTTCAGATTCAAGAAGCAATTCATCATGTTTGTAAGCATCTCGAATATGTAAATCTTTAAGAACACCACCGTGAGGAGAATGAGCCATTTGAAAATTTATGTTTTATTGTTAATGAATTTATTATGTCGAAATTATTTAATTTACTTTTAGAAGATTGAAGGAAGAAAAAAAAAAACCAGATTAACTAGGGTCTATAAATAAATAAAGGAATATTCGATAATTACGAATTAATAATCATCGAGATTTTCACTAGACTAATACGTTATCATAATAAGCGGATGCGTAAATAAAATTTTGAAATAATAGTGACATTCACGCGCTCTTTACGTCTATCATCCTCACATAAAAAATGACGACATCGTAGATGGATAGGCTTATAGTTTAGCAAGTTCGTTTTAGCATCAAGCTTGCATTGTTGTCCCACGATAATAATAATTATTTGTTTATTTTCTTGCAGATTTGTTTATTATTCGTCATTTATATTATACGCAATCGCAATTTTCCGCACTCTATAATTCTCAAGTATTTTTCAAAAATTTATTGAATTTGACCAAATTTGCTTAGAACAATCTTTTATTCTATAATTTATTTTGTTTTTTTAGTGAAAAAAAAAACCCCCGAATCACGTCATTTTGGCAATCAAAATTGTTGCATTTGATTAGTAAGCTTGAAGATTAGATCCGCATGCTATCTACAAGTGAACTAGAACAATGTGGATAATTTATTGTTGTTAACAGACCGAATAACCAATATCGCTCACATAGTTATCGTTATAATTTCAACGAAACAAATTTTGATTATATCAGTGACCTAGCCCTAAAGACGTAACCGATTCAGCCCGTTCATATATTATTATAGTGACAACAGATGGAACGAATGGAGTCAAACAAGCCCCTACTTAAATTCCTTTTTGAGATGAATATATGAATATAGTTTTTTCTATACAAACTATAGTTTTATCCTAATTTGTATTATATATTATTTCACAGTTATGTGATACAATCTGCAATATAAATGGCGCAATTCCGACTTATCATGTGACGTTGATCTCATTTTGTAAGTCTTGAAATGATCGTTGCAATAGCTTACTTTCGGTTTATCATCTTTATGGATACTTTAAGTCCGAGGTTGTCACGGACCGGTCAATAGTCAATTTTGGCCTCAATTTGACCATTCTGATCCAAGCCAATTGGATCAAATTGTATATACAGTATGACCTCCAAACCGATATGCATGGTGGTCAGCTTTTGTATCAGTTTTGACAGGTTGATTAGTTAGATTTATTTCTTATATTAGATTCTACGCTAGTTGTCATATTTGCAATTAAATTCCAAATATTGTTTATTTAAACTCTTTGTACTGTAATTTCTATTGTATTATTATTTTTAAGTTGAAATTTCTATCTTTAGTAAATAATATTTTTATTCAAGTTTTTATAGAATACAAGTGTCTTCAGAGTAGGGTTCAAGGCACAGGGACATGAGGCATGTCTATAGGCATGCCATATAACCAAAAGGCATGCTTATACTTAAGAAAATGGCATATAATTGGTCAATTTTTGTAAATTTACTTGTGATTATATATGATAATTAACCAATCAAATTATATAATTTTTTAATATTATTAGAAATAAAAAAACTTTGTATAAAGAAGTTTATAATTTAATAAAGAATCAACCAATATTTTTAATTTATAGTTTACAAATACAAATACACTATATTACAGTATTAAACAAATTTAAAAGTTATATTAATCTAACTACTGTAATCTAGGGATGTTAAGTAGTGTGTCTAGTTTGGTCTGGTCTCAGTTCTTAAAAAGTTCAGTCCTGAACTAGTTAAGAATGAGTTCATCTCTATTAAAAAGTAGTCATACCTTATTTAATACAAATTTATAATACTATTTATTACAGACTTTATCATATTACATAGTATAACAAAAAAAAATTGCATGTACATAATGATAGAATACTAATTCAGAAGCTCAAGATTTTTTACTATTCTTACATTATACTATGTTTTTAGACATAAACTTCATGAACCTTTTTATCATCCAAACAGTTTCATTCTGGATTTATTGTATGCTTTGCAAGTAAAAAGACCTGTTCGCTTAAAACACTAGTTGCCTGAGCAACCAGGTAATCTCAAGTTATTTTAACAAGAGATGTCTACTTTAAATTGAAAGATTTCAATTTTCAAAATGTAAGAGTATCTACATTTTCATTAGGCATATTTAAGTATTTATTTAATACATTACAATTAACTAACATATCATTATAAGTTCATTTCAACTAATTTCAAAAGTAATCATAAGTGGAATTGAACTGATTCAATTCTAAAACTTGCATAATTGTTTTTTTATTAAAGGATGCATAATTTTTATAAGTTTTATTAACTATTTGACATACATTATCTTTTTTAGAGATAAAATAAAAAGTTGAAAATTTTAATGATAGATCAAGCAATACTGCTTCTAGAAAAGAGAATTGTAATTCATTACAATATTTATCGAGTTTTTCAAAATTTTTTTTTGCAATACATGACTTTATTGAATTCGATTTATTTTTAGCTTTAGTAAGATGTATAATAATTACAAAAAAAACTGTATACTCATTGTCAATAGTTGGATATGTTGAAAAGAAAAGTAATTTAGTAGTCTTATAAATAGGCTCTAACAACATTATTATGATTTCAAAATTATTCCAATCTTGATCAGTTATATATTGTTATTTAAGGTATGGCATTAAAACAACTAATATGTCTATTATTTTTTTTATTTTATATAATTTATTTAATATTAAGTATAGAGAATTCTATCTGGTTTCATAATCAAGCTCAGATACTAAAAACAGTTGATTTTTCATTGCAAAGATTTTCTTTAATTCTTTTAGACAGAGTTGGATATGATGAATATGACTTACAAAATTATTTGCTTTTTTAGTTAATTTATTTATTATTAAAAGACTATTAACAACTGCAAGATTTAGTATATAGGCAGTATATTGCAATTTACAAAAAGCAGTATTATTATAATAGTATTCTAATATATAGCTAAAATGTTAACCACAAGCATTAATGTTGCTTGCATTGTTAGCAGTTATTAATAAGATTTTTCTTTCTAGCCCAAACTCTTCAATTATTTTAAAGATCATGTTAGCCAAAAAACTACCTATATGATGATCATGTAAGGGAATAAATAAAGTCCAGAAGTATACAACACAATTGCTATTTATCATCGCTCCAATACAAAGTTATTGCAAGAAATGCTTGATTTGTATAAGCAGACTATGTATTGGTTATGATTGCTACTTTATGCTCAAAACTTTTAAAAAAATTCTATAATTTATCATATTTTTTTTTATACAACTGTCAGACATATACTAAAGTTGTTTGGTTATTAGAAAGCCTATAACAGAAGTTGAGTTCAAAAACAAATATCTGAAAGTCTTCATCTTTGATCATACAAAATAGTTGTTAGTTACAGATTATCTATCATAACAGAAGTTTATTTAGTTTTTTAACTTTTTTTCATTATAAGTACTGTAATAATCTACAACTTGTAGAGCTAAGAATTGAAGTACTTGATTGTATTCAGGTTTATAGTTAACTTCAAAGTGTCATTTGATTGTACTTATGCCAGTTCTATGTTCATATTTAGTATTGCACAAGCTACAAGTAATGGATTTTTTATTTTTGAATTGGGAAAATATTTCCAAAAGGAATATAAAGTTTTATATTATTTAAAAGGTGGCTTATTTGATCTATTAGTATTTACTTCAGTATTAAATCACTATTCAATTCGATTGTATACATATTAAAGATTTGTATAGAATCTTCTAAATTATTAAAATTGTTATTTTCAGAATTATTTATGAACATGATGCTACTAATAAAACCTTAAGAGAATCAAAAATTTCAAACAGTGCCTTTTATACTTATATCAAAAAACCAAACTATGACTCAACAAACACATTTTAGCAAAAACAAAACAATTGTCAACAAAAAAAAGTAATTTAGATTAGGGCATTTGTGTTTGATGCAATTATATTACAATTTATTAAAATATTTAAAAAAACATGACAGAAAAGAATAATTAAAAAAATTCAAATTAATAAAATTATAGTCTGATGTAATTATATTGTAATTATTCAGAATATTATATATTTGTTTAATTTTATAATAGTAGCAATAACCAACATTATTTGTTTCACTGACATTACTGTATACATATTTATTAATAATAAATAAATGTTTATACACACCCTTTTACATTTAACTTTATCGTTATTGTTATAAATCAAGAGATAAACAATCATCATTAAATAAAGACAAAGAAATCTGTACTAAAAACTTTATATAGTTTGATGTGATTACACAATGATCTTAGTAAAAATATTAATCAAAAAACAGAAAGAATACTGTAATCAAAGCCATCTATACTTACTAATAATATAAAGTTATGATTATGTATTAAACAATTATTAACCAAAAATCAAAAAGAAACTGTAATAAAAACTATTAATATTTACTAATAATATTACTTTTAGTAATTATTGATCAAAAGATATAAAGAAAATTAATGAAAACTATTAGTGCTTACTAATTAAATTTACCAATTGGATATACTTTATTGATTATCTAATTAGCAAATTTTAAAGTAGATATGTGATAAAGTATATCATATAATATAAGAACTAGTTTTTAGAATAGTTTTGAACTGTTTCAAAAAAGTCCAGTCTAGACCTAGTCTGAATCCATTTTTAGTGAACTATTTAATATTTTTACTGTAATCTAAGAATACCAATTTAATTTTTTTTTTTAAAGTAATCTTTTTGATTCTAATTTTTTATTAATATTTATATCAGATATATATTTATATAGACATATTTATATTGAACTATCAGATGAGTATACAATTAACTATATTTGTAACTTTTCTATATTATCTATTTAAGGAGTTTACCTAGAGTTTCTTTATCAGTTGCCATATCTAATACCTTCTTTTTAAATGTTTTATTTAAATCCTTTGATCTAATTCTAGTATTAATTTTACTAGATACAGATTCAGATCTTTTTATTTTTAACTATAATATTATAATTCTTAAACTATTTTTATTCTCAAGGTAAACCTACCAGAGTAAGCTGTATTCTCTTTTTACTGCTAACCTGATTTAATACTATAGTTGAGATTAATACTTGCAGTTAGGATTATTCATTAAACTGCTATTATTTTTGTAAAGTTTATCTAAATTCTAGTACTTATCTTTTCTGATATCTTCTTTATTATTTCTTACTAACTGCTACTCAAAACTGATAGGACTTCTCAGATTATTAATTCAGATGGCCTGATATAGTATACTTATGTATCTTTTTTTTCTGATAATTCTAGTAGCCTAATTAGTGCATATGCTTCTCTTATATACCTGTTATTTAGTATTAACCTGTAGTTTTTTCTTTAACTACAATGATAACAGAAACTATTTAACTATAGTATAATAATTATAACTTGACAGATTCTATACAAAGTCTATACAAAACTTAACAAAATACAAAGTGATTTGGGATTTTAAGGCAAAGGCAACACTAGATAGTATATGAAGATACTAAATATTGCATTCAGTTTATTTACTATTAAAATATATAAAGATATTTAACTTTCTTGAAGGGTCAAAAAGCAATGCTTTTATAAATATTATATATATATAAATTATTACAATAAAGCTAAATTACCTCAATAAAATATGCTAAATATAGTAATACATGATAAGAAATATTAAAGATATAAAAAATATATGCTATATATTATATATAAGAGATATTATATATATGAGAAAAATCTAATAAATAATATATATATAATATATTTAAAAAATTTGATATATATAATATCTATGCTATTTGAGAGATTTGAGAGATTTGGGGCTTAGCTAATTTAACTATTTATATTCAAGTTACATGTACTAAAATTAGTACTTTATCAAAATTGTCCTGATTATGGTTAGTACTGATTTGCAATAGCATAATATATATATAAATTAAATTTTATCACAATAGCATATGTAATAGCATATTGGCAGATCAGAACTAATTTTATATAATTAATAAGACATAATTTGCATATAAAATCATATAGTTAATATGGTTTAGAATCATAACAAAAATAGATAAGTAATTAAAGTAGTTAAATATAAAAAAACAGATTAAACTTGCTATATAGATTAAATACTAGTTACAAGTTAGACTTCATCTTAAAAAAAAATATATATATGAAAATTTGAAATTATATATGATAAATTCATGAGAAAACAATAAAACAAAAGTTAGTAATCAAATAGAATAAAGAAAAAAGTATATAAGTATATTCATTGTCAAGTAAAATCTCATATTATTCATATTATAAAATAGATAAAATAAAGACAAAATTATATATATTTTATTTATTATAATATTATAAAAAGATACTTTTTTTTGTTTTTTTGTTTTTTTTTACAAATTTTAATAATGATTTCTCTTAATAAGTATAGACTTGAAAATGCAGAATATAAAAAAAAATTTTATATGAATAACCAAAAATTGTTTTGTACATTTTGCTAACATGTTGTAAATAACACAAAAAAATCTATATTGGACTTATATTTAAAATCTAATAAACATAAAAGTAATATTATTAAAATAGGAAAATTAAAATTTACTTACTAAACAACTCTTAATATAGCTAGTATTAGTTCAAATAAATGAAAGCTTATAAATATAGCTTTAGTAAATGCATTTACTAAAACTAATATTTCTTTATATAAAGTTAATAAGCTTAAAAATTTTTTTTTAGAAAATTGTAGAAATGATAATCATTTAACAGTGATGCATATGTATAATTCTGAATTATGCACATTTTATTCTGTCAAAATTTTTTTATTATTTTTTTTATAGTGTATGTATTAATATATATAATTTGAAATATATAAAATGCACATTTATATATATATTTTAAATTATGTATATTTTATATCATCTTTATTATTTAATATATTCTATTTAATAATTTAATTTATATAATTAATTTTTATTTAGGTGGTTCTATTGCAAGCTCAAAACAACTTCATATTAAATACTTAACAAAAATGTTTGAAATAGAAGTATTAAAATTATAAGATCTTTTAAGAGACAAACAAATTTCTATTACTATTGATGAAATTATAGATACATATAGCAAAGCAGTTATTAATATATTATTCAGTTTTAATGACCAAACCAAACTTGTTAAACCTGAATTTATTACTACTATAGATAGCATATTAGTTGCTCAATTAGTTATAAAAACTTTACAATATTATAATATTTTATTTGAAAATCTTGGTTTTTTTATTACTGATAATGCAGCATATATGCTAAAAGCATTTCAAAATTATATCTCTATAAATTTTGCAATTAAGACATAACTATTGCTTAGCCCATATTTTAAATTTAGTTGAAGAGATATGGGTTTAATATAAAAATTTTCAATTTTTGATTAATATTGTTAAAAATATCAAAGCAATATTTATCTATTGCCCAGCTTATAAAAAGCATTAGATTAGTTTTTTAAAATCTAACTCTTTATTAGATAATGATAATCAAATTACTTTACTACTATTATCTGTTAAAACATGATAGAATAGTTGGTTTAAATTTGTTTTTGAGATTAATCAAAATATTAACTATTATATTCATTTTATATTGAGGAAGAACAGGTTAATAATAAAGTCAAGTAATTCAAGAATTGGCAACTATTTTTAATTATCATACAAATACTTTTATCTTTAAACTTTTAATTATGTTTATATCATTTAATGCAACTTGGTAAGATTATTGTTTTGCTTATAAAAAAAATTAATCTAACTTTATTTTATTTTAGCCTCATAATAGATCTTAAGTTTTTTAAAATTAGAAATAAACCTGTTGCATTATTTGTAACACAATGTTTAATGCATCTTGAAGCTTTATTACAATCGAGTATTATTGAACCTCCTATTAGTCAAGAAATAAAATCTAAATTTGAATATAATTATTTTAAGATAGAATTATATATTACAATGTTTTGTAAAACATATCCATTAGCACTTAACAAGTTCAAAAAACATATTAATTAGCATCTTACATTACTCTTATTTAAAGTGATTTAATGCTTTGATTCATAATTTATTCATATTTAACAATATTGTCAAAATATTTCTTTATATTCAAAAAGTTCAGAATTTAAATTACCAAATAATCAGATTATTCAAGAGTAAAGAATTTATTGTGAATTAACTGAAGATTTTTCTAATACTGAAATTTGAATTTAGATATTTATTAGAAAGAAAAAACCTAAAGCTTACCCAATTTATTAAAACTAGCTTTAAATTACATTTGGCTTTTAGTATCTGGTGTAGATGTAAAATAAAGCTTTTCTATATATAAAAACATTCTTAATGATAATCAATATTCATTTTCTAAAACATCTATTGTAACATTGAATTTTATATATTTTAATAACTATATGAAAGAATAATTCAATAATAATCAAGTGAAAACAGTATTATATCCTGTAAGTATAAACTTTATTTATTTTAAAATTGTTGTTTTGTGGTTTTTTATTTGGCTTTTATAGCTCTATAGCAGATATTTTCACATATTTGTTTTAATTATTAGCAGTTAGTTATAGATACAAAAAAACATTAATGTAAAGCAAAAAATATGATTGAATATATTATATTTTTTAAAATTCAATAGCAATAGGCTTTTTTTTTGTTTTTTTATTTTATTGTTTTTATATATTTCTTTTTTTTTGATAATTATTATTCAAAAAATTATAAGAATTAGCTGTTTGTTAAAATAGTAATAAAAATTAATGTTTATTAGAATTTATTCTATTTATATTTTAAAATTTTTACTCACATATAAAGTTCACATATTTTATCTATAATCACATATTTATACCTGATTTGCATAATTTGCAGCATAATTCTAAAAAATTTATTATATAATTTACATAAATCTATTTGTAAAGCAGGCAGAATTTGGGGTTTGTTGCAGCAGAAAATAGTAAGCCCTAGTCTCAATCTTGTAATTTTATGATCAGAATCATATGATTTTGTGCTTATTAGAACTGTCTTGATGAGCTAAATTCAATGATGGTTGTTTCATTCAAATTGGTTTAATATAGGGGTCATCTAAAGCTGTGTCCAATTATGTGATCATATGACCAGAATATGCCTTCGAAAAAATGGTCAAACAAAATTACACTATAATATATGCATATTCATCAATCAAATTATGACAGTAAAATCATTTTTTTAAATATTTGTACTAGCCAATCTTTTTCAATATATATAAAACCAACAATGTTAAAAAAAAATTTGTTTCAATAACAACTTAAAAAATAAAATAAAATTAAATTTGCTTGTGTACTATAATCTGATTATTTAAATATAAAATCAGTTTAACAAATATAATAAGCATGAATGGTGTAACTTATTTTAATAAATTAAAACCAATTATTATTATGTATATTAATAAGATTAAAAAAAAAAAATTGCAAAATATAAGCTTGTCTAGATAAAATAATTATTAAATAGCCATTATATTCATTATAGTTGTTATAGTTCAAAACATAACAAAAACTTTATAGCAGAGCAATTGAAATTAACACAGAATGGCCTAGCAAGATGTTTTGTGTAAAAAATATATTTTAGCTTCAAATATTAATAATATCTATTTTTCTAGTATCTATTAACAAATTAATGTAAAAATAGTATGCATTATATATCTGAGCATTTAAATAAATTAATGAATAAATGAGTACTGCCAAGTTAAAATCAGGTGAATATTTAGTTTTTACTAAGGTGAACTTAACTCTTAACAATTGTAATACTTGATATATTAAATTACAAATACAATTAATTCATCATAGCAAAACTTGAATATTTGTTTTCAAGTTTTTAATTTGGATATTACTCAAATCATACCTACTAAATTAATAGCACAAAAAAATAAAAATAAATATAATAAACACTATACATTTAAAGTGCCTATTCTAAATAAATAACTAATTACACTTATCTACAAATAAATTTAAATTTACCTTAAAATTAATAAATTTAGTGAGACATCTATACTAAAAAGATGAAATTTGAATGCTCAAGTTGTAAGACAATATAAGTAAAATTATAGATTTTATACAGATACCAATTATATATTTGTTCATAATATTTTAGATAAATTCGTATGATCTTATATTTAATTTAAAAAAAAACTATTTATTCAATATCTCATATTCTTATAATAAAATTTTCTATGACATAAATATTTTCATACTCGCATTGTCTAAAATAGGCTCTAAACAGAACTTTAAGTCCCTGATAAATGTACCCATTTGCTTATCATCATCTTTTCTTCGATTTTCTAATAAACATCTTGAGTTCTTTCTATAAGTTTATTTACTGTCAATCGTCAATTTTCTGATGTACTCTTGGCTTTGTTCTTTTCTGATGTGTATACTTCAACCATCTTGCCATGCATATAAATATCAAAACTGCATTCCTCAAACATTTCCTAAAATTTTCTCCAAGCATCAGTTGTTAATAGTTTTGTAGCACCATACATGTGCTCATGAAAAATGTGGTGACAGAGTAATAAATACTGAAGATGAAACCAACAATAACTGTCAAGAGATGTTAATCCTGGTGCAGCTTTATCATTTTCAATTCTTTTTTCCACAGCGCAAACTTCATCAGCAAGAAGTTGTTGGATAGGAAAAGAAAACTTATGCAGCTCGTCAAGAATTTTGAAATCTAAACCCACAACTGAAATTTTCTTAATACGAAATTCAAAGCCAATGTACTCTAAATCTGAATGTTTTTTTAATCAAGTGTAGCTACTTTATTACATGCTCCTAGTAGCAAATATATATATATAATTAGATAAAACTAAAAGAATAAAGCTATCAAAAACAAGAAATAATACATAATCATCAAATAGAAAAAAAAATAAAATTAAATTAAAATAAATTAAAATAAAATAAATAAATGAAAAAATAAAAGAATAAATAATAAATAAAAATAACATCCAGATTTGGCTTAAGGAAAAAAGCTAACTTGTTAACTAAATTAATAAGAAAAAAATCCTTTTTTCATTTAATCACATTGCTTAAATATTATCTAATTTGCTAAAAAAACCTATTTGATTACATTATCGTAAGTTGTTGTTTTAAGTTCAAGTTCCTTAATGTGACATAGACTTATCCATTTTTCTGAAGATCATCAGATTGAAATATTGCATATTTTCTATATATTTAAGGTTTTCAAATGCTTATTTATTGTGGTCTCTTAACCTATATATTTATATTAATTATTTTTTAGTTGCATGCAACCACTGAACTTATAGAAATATAAATCAATATTCACAGTATACAACCAAATTTACTTACTTTATTTATGTTTTTTGTGATCAGAACATGTTTCAAGCTATACCTTATATATATAACAGTATATTGTTTTTTTTTTGTATATCCTTCTCCATAGTCACAAGAAGTGTCACAAGAAGTGTCAATAATTATAGCTGATACTAGATAATTTAAAGTAAATAATATGTAAAAAGTCATGAAACACTTAATACCAAGAAAAAAACAAAATTCAAACTTTTAAACTTGTAACTTACTTTTGAAAAATCTGTAAAGTTGATTCTGATAAATTATAAGTTTAAAAGCTCCAAAGTCTAGGTTTCTTTGCATTACTATAACAAGAAAATAAATTTAGTTTGTTATTCTTTCTTTTTACATCAAAAAAAAATAATGTGTATATATATTATATATCACATATAAGTATCATCAAAGGAAAACCTACAATTAGCTTTCAATTATACAGTATTTTGTGTACAGTTGACCATTTGTCAATAGTCTATGATCTGACTTTAAATCATATTTTGTGTGATAGACTGTCGATAAATGGCCAACTATGCACCAAATATAATTGAAAGCCAGATTGTAGGTTTTTCTTTGACAGCACTCATATGTATTTTATACAAAGATCACATACCATAACTCTTTTATTATATAATCATAATTATAAATATTATAAATTAATTTTTTATTAATATAAAAAAAAATTATTAATGGTAGATAACTTACAAAACTTTATTTCTGTATAACTTTCTAATGATCTAGCATCTGTATGTTTCATACAATAATGTATACAAGATTCAATAAAAAAAGCTTCATAAAAATTCACAATATATTTACTCTTGGATGTATAGAGAATATCCAGCTTCATCAATCTTTGATTTGCTTTATCAGTTCAAACAGATTTTCTAAAATATTTGTTCCAAATCCTTTATTAACAAAAATATTTTATTAAAAAAATACTTTATTATTAAAAAAAAAAAAAAAACCTTCATAGCCATTGTATATTGGTAGGTTTATAGAATGCCTTTCATACTGTTTTAATTTTCTCCATTACTTGTAATTTATTCATATTAATCTTATAACTATTAATATTGCTAAAATTTACTCCATGCATACATAAAACTTTCTCACTACTAAAATTAGACTTTTCTGATGGCCTTCTAAGAAATACAAATCAATATATATATTAAGCATAGAAAATACTAAGCATAAGCTATTTTATAAACCTTTTAATTTGTTTTATACTTACACAAACTTTGAAATATTTGAGAAATTCATCTTCATTGAGCTTACTTCATAACAACTTTTTGTGTAGCTTTCATTATTATTTTCTATTTGCCCTACTGATTCCATCTAATGAAGGTGTGAGTATCTTTTTCTAAAAAACTTGGTGTTAACTACAGAACAAAAGCTTCAGGTTATATATCAGTCATAATTAGTATAGTAAACTATTCATTTTTTTTCAATTTTAAGCAAATATAATTTTTTATAAAACATGATATCTATATGCCACCAAACATAACTGTGATGTAAGATCTGTAATTCCTTACCTTTATAGATTTTCAACTTACTATCAAACAAGCTAATGAACATTTGAGTAATCTTTAATAAAGCTTTATTTTGTTCTCTGATATTGCACTTAATATATTTTCAACTGTATGCAACTCTTGAGTATTCATATTCCAATTAAACAGATTATTAAGTTTCATAAATATTAAAGAGAATTCACCTAATTATATTTTTATAAAATATGCCTTGCTAATATTATAATTTTCTCTTTTCTACTCTCAAGCCTTTTTTTTTTTGTAGCTCACATATATTACATGTTCATTAGAACAATAAATATATGTTTTAAAAAAAAAAAAGTTTAAATAAAAAGTTCGAAAAAAAAGAACATTAAAAAAAAAAAGAATCAAAAAAAAAGTTTTCAAAAAAATACAACCCAAAGTCATTAGAGAAAAAAATCTGGTACAAACAATCTTTTCTAAAAAATATACAGAAATGACTTCTGGAATACATACCAATTAAACTATAAGTTGGTGAGATTGTTCTTTTTAGTTCAGAATAGTAGAATTTCAAAGAATTTGTTAATATAATCTGCAAGAATAAAGGAGAATGCATGTGAGCCCATAGTGCCCATTGATGAGAATTTTTTACATAATTTCTTAAAATGTATTGTCAGATGGTAGGAACTGAATATTCATGGATTGCTTTCTGAACTAAAGTCTCACAACCAATTTTAGTCCTTTTATACATAACCTGGATCATTATCTGTCGAGTTTTATAATTGTATATTCTGTTCATTCAAGTTCGTATGATGTGTACAGTACAATATATTATATCACATTCCTGTTCACCATTGTTGAAACCTAGAAAAGCCAACCTAATACTACTTTTCTCTATACTATTCTGGTCTTGAAGAATATATCTAGGCTTCCAATAAGATGCAAATTATCAAATTCTTTTTAAGGCCTCTGTAACAGTGATACCATCTTTTTTGTTCACAAAAAAGTGAGCACCAACATCTCAACATCCATATGTGTTACATATGTATAAGGTAAACAAATGATAATTATATCGATTAGTCTTATAAGTTGAATCCATTAAGGTTAACCATTCATATTTTTCAAGATTATCAATTTGATTTTGATTCATAAAAACTAAGTCATAAGAAGAATTATATGAAATACTATAGTATACAATGTTATACTTTTGTTGTTCTAAAAAAGAGATGATTCTTGAACATCCAATGTTTGTTTAGAGTTTACAATTAAATGAACATCAAGAGATCCATAAACTTTGTATTTAATGTTAGTAACCTCTTTATGGCTTAGTTCCTTTACACTTTCATCCAAATTTAAGTTCTCTTTCATATATTCTTTTACTACATTAAGGATGGATAATAATCCTTGAAAGCTTCCTGCTCAACCAAATTTCGAATAATCTGAGAATGTTTAATTTTTTTAATTTCTTTTAAAGTATAAATATGATCAGATGAATCTTTAAAACATTCTACATGCACTTTTGTCTCTACAATGAATCGTAATACTTTAATCTTAGCAAAGCACATGTTAGGTGGATGAACTTTGGTTTTACATCATTTATTACTTGGAATTTCATCCTTCTGAATACTAGATTTATTGTGTTTTGTGAAGTAACATGTATATGTTTGTGATGAATTACTATTCACTTTTTTTTTGTAGTTAAAACCAATCCAAATGTTGGATACCAATGACTACTATTCAGAATCAAACTCTTGTACTAATATCTCAAATAGTTGGTTAACATTAAAGAGAAGATTTTGTTTTTAATTAGGAGTCAAATTTTCAGAATTAGACAAATATATTGTTGTATTTATACTCATAGATGTAAGAATAGATGAATCTGTTATTATATTTATGATTTAAAAAAGGATTTCTTGTTCTATTTTTATAATCAACTAAAACAATGTTTGAAGATATTTAAGGCAACAAAAAACTTTTTTAAAAAAGTTTAATGCACCAAAAAAAAAAAAAAAAAAATATACCAAAAAAAAAAAAAAAAAAGATTGTCTTAAGATTTTAAAATATTATCACTGACTAAACAATACTGTGAATCTTCGAAAAAGATATTTAAAACAAGAAAAAAAGTTTGATCAAAAATTTTCTTATCAAAAAAAAAAGAATTATTTGTGATATTAAAAACACACGTTTCAAATGTTTCAAATCAAAGACAAATATATTATTTGCACTTTTAATTTCAAGAAAAAAAAAGTAACTTTAAAGTTATACTAACATTAGATTTGCACGAAATAACGCCCACAGGTCTTATTTTGAAACATGCAACTTAAAGTAAGCTAATACGTATGTAATCAATTTAACCGAATGCTTTGTTCACAATGTGCATAAGGTAAATACATACTGATATGTATATTTTCACGTTACATTATTATATCATTCGGGGCAGTTATAACACTATTAATGGTCGGCCTTACAGCCCGGAGATCGGATGATCACGTGATTGAACACGGCTTTAAACGTTCCCCTAATTAGGAACAATTTAAAAATAAGTGATACGATTTTAAGAATCATATGCAATCGAAACAAATTCATCATGCAAAAATTACTCACATGACATGAAAAAAAATTCGGTAGTTTCATCACCTTTCATCAGTTTTGTCATTTTGTCATTTCAATTTTTTTTTGATGAAAGGCGAAACTAGGTTTGACTTTCGTCAATGATGAAACCTTAGGTTTCGTCTAACAACATTAATTGCAGTATTATATGATTTTAACACAATAGCATTATGGTATCTAGATATAATAGCATTATTGTATTTTGACATAGCGGCATTACAGTTATGCCATTACGGCATTACGGTTACGGCATTACGGCTCAAAGAAATTACGGAAAATAATACGGCACACGCCGTAACCGTATTAATTTGTTAAATGAATTCTACCGCCAACTATAGTTATACCAGATCGCGGATATTTCATTATAACGAATTTATAATAAATAGCCCGATAACCAGTATGTCAATTTGTTCTTATAACTAGACCACTTAACCAACTTGACCAATATCGAAAATGCTCGACTAGACTGGTCATTGGTCAAACTGGTCTGGTCAAATGGCAGAATTGGTCTGGTCAGCCCAACACTGGTTATAACCAGGGTTTAAAATTCAGAACAAAATTACTTGCACAGTTGCAAATTAAATTTTTTTTTTACAAATATAGTTTTTATAACAAATACAAGTTACCTCCGTTAATATCAACCCATTTGGATTAGACAATTATGTTGATATATGCGAGGTTGATAACAGCGAGATAGTTTTTATATAACCTGTGCCTTTTTTTTCTTAATAAGAGGTTGATGTTAACGAGGTTGATATTAACGGGGGTAACCTGTATATACTGTATCTATTATATAAATTTTGAGCAACTTTTTTCTAAAACTTTACATGCACATTAAACAAAAACTCTTGCAAATGTGCATCTTGTGCATGCTAATTAAACCCTGGTTATAACGAGAGTAGACTGTAATTTGATGTTATAAATAAGCTTTTAACAACTTAAATTTTCAAATTTTGAATAATATAGTTAAATTGTTCAAGGCTAGTAAAATGAACGAGGGAATCAAGATTAAGATCAATCAAATTTATGACGCTTTTACTTTATTATAATAGAGACCAGGTTGTTGCTAACCAGATCTGTAAACATGATGCATACAGAATGCTGCAAGGCCTCCTTTCACGTTATGGTCACCTTTTCACTAAAAATAGACATTGTTCCAAATGAAAAGATGTAATGTTTGGAATATTTATAAGAGTAATACGAAGTTAAAAGTGCTTTTTTCTGTAATGCTAAAAAATGTCATTTTCCTTGACTCCATCAAATTCTACTGTTGTAAAAACTTCCCAAGGTGAAGATAAAATAATTTATGTAGAATTTAAAGTGCCAGAATATAATCGAGATGCATCTTTTAGTCTTGCAAAATATTCTTATCGTGCAAACTCTGAGAATCCTGATATTGATGAGGGATGGGTTGTTTATAGAAATGATGAAAGTTTTCTAACTGTTGGGAAAGGATATGTAATCGTTAAAGGGAAATATTGTGGTATTTGTTCAACTGATTTGGCTAGGCGATTTTTGCCATATGAATTGCCACAGGTAAAATATTCGACTAGGAATTCATTCTTAGAAAAAAAACGCTTAAATTTCATTTATACATTAGATTATCGGACATGAAGCTGTTGCTATACATAAATCTAAGCCAGTTGTAATAGAAATTAACGCATCACATTTTGCTCGTGGAATTACAAGCGAATCTTGTCTTTTCTGTAAAAATGGATTGCCCACTCAATGTCCAGATCGTGTATGTTTCGTGTTACATTAATTTTGGAAGTAACATTTGACTGGAAATATAATATTAAAATTTTAATTCTTTTCAGATAACTTTTGGAATAAATCGCCAACCTGGTGGCTTGGCGCCTTATATGCTTGCACCTATAAATGCCATCATACCAGTTCCCGATAATATAAGTTTGAAAGCAGCGATATTAACAGAACCCTTTGCGGCCGCTCTTCACGTATTTTTTTTATACTTTATTGTATATTAGTAATTCGATGCGTAATTTATATAAATATTTTATTTTTTAAGGCTGTCGAGACAACTCCACCAAACAATGGCTATAAAGTCGCTGTCTTGGGACCTCGCAAATTAGGAATATTAATTCTTGCGGCTTTATGTGGTAATCTATGTAACAGTGATTAAATTTATTTATTTATTTTTTAAAATTAACTCTTCCAATTTATACGTACAAGATTATCGAAGAAAACATAACCTTGATTTTACTACAACTGCCATTTTTCATAAAGATCCACCACAGCCAACACTATCTTACCTTGCACAACAATTGGAAGCACAAATAACCACAACATCATCTTTGCTTCCAGAACAAACATTTGATATTATCTTCGACACCACAGGTTCCCCAGAAGGTTTCTTACACGCGATAAAGCTATGCAAAAAAATTCTTCATTTGAAATCAACTCATGGACGGGAAGTTTGTGGACTGAGACGAATGTCAGATTTTGTGGTTGACGAATTCTCGCTGTTAAGATTTGAACCAAAGAATTTGGAGTTCAGTTGGCCTGGAGAAGTTGTTGACAAGAGAGGGAATCCTAATGTTTTTGTCAGTCCATCTGTTGATGAAAGTATCGTTAAAATGATTAAAGGTACTGGAAGGAACGTTATCGTTCTGGAAGTAGCACGTGCTGTAGAGTATGTTAAGCAATGGATCGAACAGTCAAGCTCAGGAAAAGTTGAAGATGAAAACTTGACGAAATCACCGGTGCCAAGGTTTGATTTAGCTGTTGTGAGTAAAATCGAGGATATTGATTTTATTATAAGACCCGTTGATAACGAGGTGAGCCTATGCACATCATGATCGATTGTCATCTATAACTTTTCTAAAAAAGACAAATAAATAAGTAAATAAATAAAATAAATTTTTTTTTTGTTTTCGTATTTACTTATATTTAAGGAATTTTCAATCCTTCGAGCCATTCTCTACGCACCACCTTTGTCAATAAAGGAAGATAAAACATCCAAAGAAATGAATCTACTTAAGAAAGCCCTTCAAGAAGATAATATTCAGATTTGGTCAACTAGATGTGGTAATCTTTCAAATTCTCTAGAAATGTTATCTTCAAATGAGGATGTTACCAAAATTTTGGAAGAAAATATGATTTCAAAAGAGGTAAAATTACAAGATATCAGAGATGGATTTAACCTTGCAGCTAGTGAAGATGTTATTAAAGTTATCGTAGATGTCGAATATTGATAACATTAAGTTCATATCATTGCATTGAAATTAAAAATTGTAACATATTATTTGGCTTTTCAATTGGTTGTGCCTACTTTTTTTTTTCTTTTGTAAAGTTTATAATGCAATGACGATTATGTACACAAGCATTAGTTTATCTTGTAAGTTTAAAGTTGAAAACAATTGATTTGTATTCCCGTTATAAAGGATGCATTTTTTAACCAGCCCAAATTGAGTGTAGCCGAGATTTTCTAAAATCATGTATGAAGTAATATTCGCGACTCGAGGTAAAAAAAAAAAGTGTTAATTGATAAACTCCTTTAAGTACATTAACGTTAATGTAAAAAAATTATGCTACATTTCTGTATATTATAAAATCGCGCGCCTGCATGCTATTTTGAGTACGTATATGAGATAAAGGGCTAATTTTCTATGCTTTATTACCACATAATAAACACACATGATGTTACCTGTTACATTGGAACTTTTTGTTGCATTATCCACTTCCTTATTTCGATAAAAAAGTTTTTTTTTAACAAATCATTTCATGTAACCTGTTAGAATGCGTTACTGATGGATCATCGGTGCTGTTCCTGATAGGGTAGGAAAAAAAAAATTTACATACCGTTCCTGGTAGATTCTAAAAGAAGCGCCTCTAAAATAATATACTACTATAGCGAAAGTATATGAAAAAAGTTAGGATTGGAGTTCATTTTTAGAACCCTACCAAGAACAGTACTCAAATAAAATTTTTTTTAACACCATCAAGATCGGTCTGCCGATCCATCAGGAATAGTATTTTTGCTGTTAGAATTACTCAGTCCTCATGAGGTGCGCGTTATTTCGAGGTGTCCATGGGCGTTATTTTGAAATTAAGGAAGTTATTCTTAAGGGATCCGTTTTCTAAATAACGTCATGGCCGTTATTTTGTGGGTTTACGGTATTAATATGTGCAATAAAAAAGTTTGCTCCATTCCCAATAACGATAATATTATCGATAGTGTATGAATTACAAAGATTATGTAATACCCAAAATTAATTAAAGATTAACGATCAATGTTAATGAAGGATCGGCTAACGCTAAGATTAAAATCTTTTCTAACCCTTAATTCTAACATAATTCACTATAAAAAAAAAAATTTGAAAAATTACACAAAATTTATTATTAAAATAGGCTCAATTCTCAGCAACAACCGCGGCAATAATAGATATAGATACAGCAATCTATGTTTGAAGTGTAAGTACAGTATTGTCGACCAGATAAATAAATATTGCATTGACCAAAATATTTCCATTTAAAATAGCCAGCTGGGTATTTTATATTGAAACCGAATCTTTTGGTCTGTGCCTTTTGTCAAATATAGTTGATTAAAGATTGGCCTTCCAGTAAATTTTAGTTTCAATGCTTCTCATTAGTTAATTTATTAGAATGTTAGGGCTTTCTAATGTTTGTTACCGAAATCAAAAAATGATTCCAACGAATTTTTATTAAGTAAGTTATTGTCGTGTATGATGTTGAAGTCGGATGATGTTGAAATTTGGGATCTGTCAATCTATACTCTTTTATTAACAGCTCTAACCATAAATCCTAGGAAAAGGCCCCGGAAAAAAATTCAAAACCCGTATACAAAAGACTCAAATTTCAGTATTATCCGCGGCAATTGCTGAATTTCGACGAATTTGGACGAGCAAATGAATTTGAATTTCGACAGCCGCCGCTTATTAAGAGATTGGAAATTTACAATAAACAACACTGGTTAAGGTTAAATGTGTATGTTCTAAACTTGTTAATACACTTTTATTATATATAAAAAAAGTATCCCTATTATGTGTTGAAAGACTAAAACTAAAGGAGGAGACAACGAACTTCCCGAATTAATATTAATAGGTGCTAATTCTAGTTTTGGCATATATGAATGGTTTGGTCTGCTATATGTTCCATATCTAAAGATGAGAACAAATAAATATATATATCAAATTAATCCTTTTGACAATTTTTTGATACTTAAAAGAAAGTTTAGCAAATTATCTTACCCCATTGTTTCAAAAAACCTCTTTAGCTTTGGTCCAATAGCACCAACAAGTTGCCCATTGTGGAATTTTCCTCCAAGCATAATATCGCCGCTTAACGTCTCTCCTGGAAATAATTGATTTCTCATCAAAAAGTCACTAGTATTAGTATATATCGTAAAGTCCACATGATTTATACTATTATACGGATCGAATACACTTGATGTAGTATCGACCACAAACAAGTCACTTATATTAAATGCTCCTTGTGTATGGTGAGAAGTTAAGTTCCAATTAACTAACCCAAGAGTTTGTGGTTGTGTTGATATATTCATCATATCTTTGGCTATAGCATACTGTGGCGATGACATAAACTTTTGTTGAAAATCATAATAACTTCCTTTAATATCATTACTAAAAAATTCATTTAATAATGCCGTCTTGTTCGAAACATAATTTCCTGTATTAGTAAATACCAAATATTTATCAAATATATTTTCTCTAAATCCCATCCAAGAAACACGTTTATTAGGGTCATAACGATCTTCCCATAAATATTCGTAGTCCTCTTCTGTCATTAACATAGGTGTGATATATTGTGCCGACTCATCAGGTGACCATGTGCTCCATGATGTTTGAAAACCCAATCCATGACACAATTCATGGAGAATCAAGCCCAGAAAATCATATTGATTATATTTAATTGGCGGATCATCTTTGAACCAATAATTAAGACCAAGATTGAATTCGCCATAGATATCCGGATAATTATATTCAGGATCAGACGAAAAATTAAATTGTTTGACCAATGATTGGGGATAAAGCCTTTCTACACCATCATCATCTTTTAATAGATACAATAACGTTGGTTGTGCGTATCCTTTAATCAAAATGCTAGAATCGTTAATTGTGGGGTTTTTTTTATAACTTAATTGAAACGAAAACAAAGTTGGTTATGCTTACCTGGGTCATATGCGTAATCTCCATTGCAAAGTGGGTCGTCCGCACAAAAGTCATAAGCACTAATATTGACAACAATTGACGATCTCAAGTATAAAACTGAAGATAAAATGCTTCCTGCATCTATAAATGCCTCGATGACTTTCCCGCAAAGCGTTGTATCGCTCGATTGACATGATATACTAAATATGAAATTTTTGGCATTACTCGACGGATATCCAATATTATTATCATTATTATCATTTGTTTGATTTTTTTCTGAATGATTGATGGGATATGAAGTATTGACAGGATGTGTTGGTGGTGATGGTGGTGGCCTTGGCTCATTATTTCCTTTCGGCTTATCTTTTGATGGTCTTCCGAACAATCTCTTTACGAGACCTCGATCAAGTTTTGGATCATCGCAATTCGTTCTAACAGCAATGTTTCGCTTGCGTGGATTTTGATACCGAAAGCATTGAGTTGATTGTATAACACATATATTTATGGATATTATTACGAGAATAGTTAATATTAATAAAGAGGTCCAGCGCTTCATACCTTTATATGATTATGCGCTAATGTTCAATAATGGCGATAAAGTGAATGATAGAACATACATATGATAATTGGTAAAGGTCGCATGAGATAAAAACTATAAATTCAAATATTTTTAATTGACATTCATAAGACAGAAGATTTCGTAGAACTTTGTCTAGAAACTGTTCCCGAAATCTGGAAAATGAGAGGAATTAATAAATTCTGTTATTTAAATCCGATTTAGAAATTCTCCCCCTGCGCCGGCCAGACTTAAAAATAAACTGTTTTATTTGTAGAACAACGCTAACCTAAATAGAAATACGTAAACGTAATTTCCCGTTTTCCATAATGAAAATTCCTTATAACGAATTTTAATCATCACATATAAGGAAATTGAGTCCTAATTTAATTCGATTAGCTCAATTCGGAGATACTATATAAATTCCCCTCAACACTAATAATAAATGCAACAAATGGGGTGTTACTTTCAAGGAATTGCGCTAAAAAGGTGTTCACTGAACGTTGCGCCTATTTATGTGTCACTTCTACGTATAATTGAATCAACATTTTGTTTTACAACCACAACATTGTGTCAGATACGGCATCATTTGTTTTAATAGGATTTCACCCTTTTTACTACCTGTAGTTATTTAAATTAATTTAAACTTTCAAATTTATATAAAAAAACATTCATTTATTATAGTTACAAAATTATTATTAGTTATATGACAAAAAAATAATTTGTACTATAAATATTATATAATAATAATAGAAAATCATTACAATTTTTAATAATTTATATATAAATATATATATTATTTTAATTTTTAACTAAGATTTTAAAAAAAAATTTAATTAAATAAATTTTTTATAAAATTGTAAAGATTAACTATCTAAACAATTTATTAAATTTAAAAAATAAAGTTTATCGAAAATAATATAAATTTTAAAATTTAACTAATTTTTTAATCTTATATATCTGATATGTAAATTTATTAAATATTTTTTATGTAAAAATTTTACAAAATTCTAAAACATCTAGAATTATAAAATTTACAAAATACGATAACATATATATAAAAAATATATTTGTAAGTATAATTACATTGGTAGTCTTAAAGTATGTCACAAATAAATACAATGTACAGTACTATTAGTAGTATACCAAAAACTATCCATTAAAATTTCAAAAGTTTCAATAATTGTTAACAAAACCGTATTTACAAATTTATATTTCTTTGTGGGGAATTTCATTAATGAAAATCCACATTCATTAAATTCATTAATTAATTAAAGATAAACATTTACCCGTATCTACTATGAAGGATGATGATAAACCATGTCAATCTGGTTTTCAAAATAAATAAAAAAAGAAATTAATGTAATTCTATTGCACAAAAATAATTTCAAAGACTTTCGACAAAGTCGTTTGAAATTTGGTTCAAATTTAATGTCGTCTCTGAAGCCTACAGTATTCAAAGTAACAAACCATGATGACTCAACTATTCGTCGTTTCATCATGCCAACATCCGCCCCATCGTGGGAAGAGCTTTCAACAAAAATACGACAAGTCTTTGAAATTCAAAACCAAATTCGAATTGGCCTGACGTACTTGGACGAAGAAGGTGATGTTATTACTCTTAGTTCGGAAAATGAATTACAGGAATTTTATGACGAAAGAGAATGCTCGATGCAAGAAAATCATGGAGAATTGGTTAGACAAGAAATTACAAATTTTGAACAAGAAAGTAATCCTACTATCGCTATAGCAAATAATAATGTTAGAAAATTTGGACTAAAGATTTATTATGCAAAAGAACAAATTTCTGATAATGAAATTGAAAGGGATGACGAGAAGCAAGATGGGCTCAATTGTGCCCAACAATAAAATCAATTGATATACCCAGTTTCACTTTTTATTTAATATCCTAAGTTCGAAATGCTAAAGCTTTTTTTTTTTTTTGTATATGCATCTACGTAGCTACATAGTAATAGTGGTCATTTGAACCATAATCCGTTTTTTTTATTTGTTTGTTCAAATTAATAATTTCTATTATAAATAGCATGCATAAGTTGGTAAAGTTATGTAATGACCTAATTTTATTGCAGTTAACACATTATTCAGTAACGGTAATTGTTATCTTTAGACTTTTTTTTTTAAAAAAAAAATAAATAAATAAAATAAAATAAAATAAAAATAAAATAAAATCAACCTTACCGTTATAGTGTAAACATATAATAAATATAGCATAAAGTATCATTTTCTGGAAAAAAAATTTTTTTGTAAATTCAAAGCTGAAAAGTTTTTTTTTTTTAAGAACACAATAAGTACGTGCTTACATAACAATACAATAACATTTTTATCAGTTTGGTCAAACATTCGGCCTAAAGTGTGTAACGAGAAATTTATTCTGTTCTAACTTTAAACAATAATGGTCACAATACTTCAGGTTACTTCGTGCGTAATTATTATGGATGGATTGTAACATCAATAGTGGACAACATCAATAGTGGGCAATACCAAGAGTGTGCACTAAGGATGTTACGGTCCGTCCTGGTTCAAAAGACCAGGTTCAGATAGCAGACCGTGGACCAGACCAAGGTTCATAAATTCTTTTCTGGTTCAAGACTGGCCAATAGAAATACAAAATTCAGACATGTTGCTGACTAACTGAAATTAAGATTAGACCCAAATTGTGTCACAAACAGCGTCTTTTAAGTCTTTTAAGTATTATAATTATAATGTCATGTAGAGGTCTGCACAGACCTGACCGAAATTTAAAATAGCGGACCGGGTGTGTCAAAAACATAGTAAACTGCGGGCAAACCTTTTTAAAAAAAAACTTTATTTTGCTAATTTTATGATCCAATTTTAATTGAAAATTCTGAAAAATCAGTCGCGTAAGAATTTTAGGTTGGCGGGGAATTATTAATGATTATACCACTATCAGAACCTAAATAACTTGATCTATAATATTTGTTAGAAACTCAAAAATACATAAAAGAACTTCATTGTAAGTTAGCTGTATAAAAAAAACTAGATTAATTTCCAACAATTTTACTAAATTTGCTGTTTTTTATGCCCTTTAACCGCATATATTTTCTAAATTTTTATTGTTAACATTAAGACATCTTTGAAATGCAAATGCTATCACATGTCGATATAATCAAATATAGATATAGGTTTATTCATTAAGTAATAGTTATTGCACATATTTAGTATCCTTGTGATGGACCAATTTTATTAAGATCGATCTTGGTTCAAAAACTGGCACAGACAAATCTCTGGTATGCACATGTGATCTTATCAATAAGATTTTGATTAAAATACATCGAATGGTGAACAACATAAATGAATAGGATAGGTTCACTGTCGTTCGTTATGTTTGAGTAGGATACCAATATTACCAGTATTAAATGTAAATCCCAAACTTTACACATCAACACACCCTAATTTAGACCAGTTGTAGCTTGATGCAAGCATTAATAGTAATCGAAAGGTTTTATGAAAAGCCAAATTTATAAAACTTTATTGCAGGTCAAGAGGCACATCTTCGTTCATTATTTACATCCTTAGGCATTTTCTTTTTCCTATATTCTATCACTTAACATGATTAGTTCGCTGACGCATAGAATATAAAGGATAAGTCTGAATTTGAGACAAATCGAAAAGATGCCTCATAGTTGGTCGACCATGAGGGCAATTCTACAAAATATATATGAGTTATGAAAAATTATTCACCATTTTTGATATTAAAATATATTTACCCATGGTTGATCAATTTCACTCATATGCCTTACAATCTATCAATATGTTTAATTTCATATTAACAACTTATTAAACGAGTAAAAATACATTTTTAAAGTTACTACCTTTTCCATCTGTTGACGTGATAATGCATCTCCAATCATTACAGATTTGCGGCAGGCTCGAGAGGCAAATATCTTTCGAACTTTTGAGCAACGAACCATTTCTCCGGGTCTTTCAGACAGTAGAAAAATTAATTCTTCCAAATCTTTATGATAAATATTTTAAATACAATGATATAAATAGTGCTGCGAAAGTTTACATAAGACTTATATTACCTTCAACGCCAAAGATAATATCATTACTTATTGGTTGTGATATCAGTTTTAATTTTTTTGTTGTTTGAGCCTCTAAATCAACTTCTAAATCGAATCCATTTGCTTTTAAGATGTCTATATTGTCAATGGCAACTAATTCCTCTGCAGCAGTAAGTTCCAGTGATCTTGGACTAAAATGTAACAAGGTTGTAATCGAATAAACAATATAATATAATAATAATAAATAATAATTATGATAAAAATAATTGCATCAACCTGATTAATCTCTGAGAATTAATTTTGGTATGAAGTTGAAGTTGTTCAAAATTATATTTTTCATCTGACGCGTGTTGGTCAATTATTAACAAGTCACAGCCTTCGTCTTTATATAGTTTAGCAATAATAAACCCAAGATTAAATTGACCAACAATCTCCATCGATGAAAAATCAGTTTTCTTTATAACCCTATTTAGCTCTCGTTCAGCAGCTTCATTGTCAGAAGAAATAATGCCAGCGACATCTCGCAAGCATTTCTTAAAATTGTTCTTGGGAAAGTTGTTCGATTGTTCCCTAATTTTATTCTTATCATATTTTGAAATATCAAAAGGGACCTTAAGTATCTGTCTCTCATCTGTGTTGTCTCTTTGGCCTTTCTCGAAATTTAAATTATCAACGGAGATAGTTGTCCCAGATCCTATAATTGATGGAATTTCCAGATCCTTTCTCTGGCCATTGTTAGGAGTATGACAACTATTTTCTACTTCGCAGAACTTTGTTGTCTCGTTGTAGCTAACATTTAGTTTATTAAATTCATTAGGGCCGTTCTCTTTTATAGACAACATTATACTTTCAGTATTAAGGCACGTAGAAGTTGAATGGGATGACTCAAAAACATTGTTCATTTCATTCTTATAATGTTATTCAATTGAGTTCAAGATTATGTATATCATGTTAAATAATAAGTTTACGAGTAAAACATAATTAACAAAAGTAATCTCACCTCACGGAATTTTGTTGTCTCGCTGTAACTAACATTTACTTTATTAAGTTCATTAGGACCGTTCTCTTTTGTAGAAAACTTTATATTTTCAGTATTAAGACACGTAAAATTTGAACGGGATGGTCCAAAAACATTGTTTGCTTCATTCTTATAATATTATTCAATCGAGTTAAAATTATGTATATCAAGTTAAATACATAATAAACAAAAGTAGTCTCACCTCACAGAACTCTGTCTCGTTGCAACTAACATTTACTTTATTAAGTTCATTAGGACCGCTCTCTTTTGTAAACAACCTTACACTTTCAGTATTAAGACACGTAGAAGTTGAACGGACTGACTCCAAAACACTGTTCATTTCATTCTTATAATATTATTTAATCGAGTTCAAGTTATGTACATCAAGTTAAATAATATTGAGTAAAAGCATAATTAACAAAAGTGATCTCACCTCGCAGAACTTTGTTTCGTTGTAACTAACATTTACTTTATTAAGTTCATTAGGACTGTTCTCCTTTGTAAACAACTTTATACTTTCAGTATTAAGACACGTAAAAGTTGAACGGAATGGTTCCATAACACTGTTCATTTCATTCTTATAATATTATTTAATCGAGTTCAGTATTATGTATATCAAGTTAAATACATAATATTACGAGCAAAACATAATTAACAAAAGTAATTTCACCTTCAACTCTTCGAGGATTTTGTTTTCATTATGAATAAAAATAGTCCTTTTATCAGGAGTGACATTAACATCGTAATAGCCTAAATTAACAAGTATACATTAAAATAGTCCATTAGTGTCTCAAACCACATAGTAATGACGTTCGTACATTTTTCAAGCCGAAAATTGACAACACAAAATGGATATTGATTCGTATTAAAACTTTTATATAATTCATTAATAGTTTTAGCAACCTATTGATATTATAGAAAAAAATATATTAAATATATTAAATATGCTAACTAGTATTGAGGCTCATATATGTGTAAAGTGTATAAACCTTTGGTAAAGTGCAAGGTCGGCTGTTAATGAAATAAAACTGTCTATCGGAATTTCCTCGACCATAGCCTTTCATTGGCTTTGATATGTATCCAACAATATGTATAGGATATGCATCACTATATTTGAATAAAAATTGATGGACTAATTAAAGCATATGTGTTTATTCGCTTTATCCAAACTTAAATTGGAAAAGTCTATTTACCTCTCTGACTGATTTTCAGAGTCTATTGACATTTTTTGTTTCTCCGGTGTCACTTGGATGTTAAAATCAAATGGTACAATTTGTGTTAATGTTTTAGCACCAAATAAATTAGCAATGTTATCTCGAATGCTACAATTCCCGTTGGTACTGAGGACTACAGTTCTTGCGCTAGAATAAAAATATAAATAAGTCGGTTTGATATTTCAAACAGAATCCGAGAGAAGAAAATGGAAATATCAGTATTTCACATACCTCCTATTAAGTTGATTTGAACAAGTGATTTTCAAATTTATACAAATTATGGCATAGGCTTGTAATAATGTCAAGGTTTTACCAAATTCCCGCTTTATATTCTTTTTGAATTCTTGATGCCGAACAGGAATCGGTTCAAACAGATCTTGCAAGATCACTGTTGTGCCTCGCTTTATCACAAATATTTAATATATTTTAACTCAAATATTGTAACATGTTTGTAAAAAAGTCCCAGATATATCAAAATGACAATGCACCTCACGAGCTATAGGTGTCTTTTTAATAAGTTTTCCGAGAGAATCAAATTCCAATTTAAATCCAGTGGGAGCCTCCTCCTGTGTACAGGTTAAAATCACAACCTTTGATAGAGCACAGAGAGAACTTAAAGCTTCTCCTCTGAAACCAAAAGAATTGAGATCCATCAAGTCTTCAAAGCTAGAAAGCTTAGAGGTACTATGTTTAAGGGCTGAAATTGTTAATACCCGTAAGTATAAAAATTAATAGGATTATCCAAACAATTTAGTGCTACTAAAAGACCCACCGAGTTGTTCGAAATTATGCTGATTTATTCCTGTACCATCATCAATCACCTCTATCGATTGTATTCCATACTCTTTAAACCTAATCTCTATTTGGCGAAAAAACGCGAAATATATTCACTTCTACTGTTTGCAATAGAACGCGTTTATTAGCTATTAATAATTTGTATTCACCTATTGCTCTGGCTTGGGCATCAAGACCATTTTCAACAAGCTCTTTTACAGCTGTAGCTAAATCTAAAATAACTTGACCCGAGCAAATTCTATGTATCGAAGTTGTGTCAATAGATTTTACTGCCGCCATTACCGTTACGAAAAAATCAACTGATTATCTAATTGTTCACATGAATGTTGAAATACCCCTTGTGTAAAATCAACCCCGGCATAGCATTGTATGTTCAGAGCAACCAATAATTGTCGGGAAAAAATCCTCGGATTTTTCTAGCAGCTAAAATAGCACTAGCGATATTACGACAACCACATATCTAAATCCAACCAAAATGGCTTATTTTAATTCTACATGTCTAGAGAATACAAAATAAAAAAAATTTTACCGAGTTTAGTTTGGTAAACTTTTTTTTTTTGTCTTTATATGAGTGTAACTCAAATAAGTGATTATAATGTTACCTTATCTATCTTTTTTTTTTTCCTTAAGCAGTCATTCTAGTACTTTAATTAAGAATCTTGAAATTACTTTTTTTTTTTTTTTTCTGTTAAAGCGGCAATCTTGCCTGTCTGTCTTTATTGGGTAATATATCGTTATATAATTATATATAAAGTTTATCAATGAAAGTACAACTAGTCACACGTATAACTTTAGTCATTATCTAATTAAGGATTCCGCCCAAGGGTTACCCACTAGCTGTCATACCTGAGATTCGTCTGTGAATCCCTGATTTAAACTTTCTGATTTCAATCCTATTGCATATATGCAATGCTTACATTACCATATGAACATACCAGGTTAGGGTTATCTAATTACTATTTATATCAAGGTATCATCTCATTGGAATACATATCATTTCATTGACAATCGTTTCACTGAACACCCCATCGCACAGAGCGATGGTTAATATTTAATGAATATTTGATGATTAATAATTATTGTTCAATATTACTCATTATGTTGTGTGATAGGGTGTTCGGTGAAGCGATCATCGATGAAATGATACATATCCATCTCATTGGATGTTATCAAGTATTCATAATTTTTCAAATTTATCCTCAACACAGATTTATGAAGTATGATATTAAGATTACCTCTTAGATTTTATCTGATTTTAGTGTATTTTGTATTCACTAAACTGGTATTAATGTCAGAGGTGTTTAAATTTTAGTAAGTTCATTTCTTTTTTATTGTTTCTTTTTATGTTCACTATATTACCCATTAGTACACCTTCTTTCTATTTCTGGTATGTTCCTTATTTCTTTTACATTAAGCATTAATTTTCTATATTAAAAAACTTCTTTTTAGAAATTTTCTTATATACTGATTTTTTATTTATATAGATTTTAATTGCAGAGTTTTGCATATATTTATATGTTTCTGTAGATTACAGAGTTTTTACCTTTAACTAAAATTGAACAGTTGATCTTGTCTGTAAAGAGAGAGATGTCTAGACCACTAGACTATGAGATCTCAACCCCAAATCTTGAAATTATTTTTGCAATTATATAGATATATATATATATTTAACAACTAAGCCTAGCATCACTTGACTATCTTAAAATACTTAAATGCAATTTGTTGTATTACTCCAAACAGAAGTAAACTACTTGTCTAATTACTTAAAGTTTATAATAAAAAGATCTTTTCTCTTCTATAACAAGTTCTAATATTGTCTTTCTAGCTTTTTTTTAATTTATATATTTTTTTTTATTTGTTTTTTTTTTTTTTATTCTTAGTTGATTTGTTTTTTTCTTTTTGCTTAGATATTTTTTTTCTTTTTTTTTAATTTGTCTGTTATTTTTTTTTCTTTTTTCTATTTATTAATTTTTTTATATTATATTTTCTAAATTTGTTTATAAAAAATGTCTCAAGTTATTCTTATTATTGTATTTATAAACTTTTATTTTTGTATTTAATAGGGTTTTATAATTTAATTTAATTTGATTTGGTTAAATATTTAAATTTAAATCAAATTTAAATTAAAAAAATTTTTTTAATATTAAGCTAAGTACTTGCAACTTAGGTTTTTATTAATAGTATGTTTCAAATTTATAATTGGGTGGACTAATTCTGTAACTCTTTAATTACCGTCTACTCTTTTTACTGATCTTCATTTCTAAAAAAAACAAAATCATTTTTTCAAGATTTTATCAAAAAATTACATATCAAACATCTGTTACAAGTTTAAGAAAAAAGGTCCAGCACAAGAAATTACAGTTATTTGTTTAGAACATCAAAGCGAATAATCTTTATAGGCAACAACTATGAAATCTTTCTGAAATTTAGACGAAATTTTCTCTTACTTTTGGAGATTTGTTATTAACTTGAAAAAATTAAAGATTAAAATACATGACTGTACAAAAATAAACAAACAATAAACAAAACAAAACATGTTCCTAATTAAGAAAATACTAAGTATATTGAAAAATACTTATACAATACTAACATGTATGTGATTTATTTAATCAAATCTAGGCTAATCAAATCAATAGATCAGAAGATAAGATACAAAAAACAGATATCATAGATTATATCAAGGGGCTGGGTAACAGAAACCAAAGATATATAAATTGTAAAACTTTGAATCATGTTTTATCAACACCTATGAAAAGCCCAAGCAATATAGAATTTATTACAAAAGATTTAGTATTAAATAACCCAAATCATATCATATCAGATAATATGTTACTTTATAGCCAAATTCTTAAAGTCTTAAAACTGGCAGAATTGAGATGATTTGAAAAAGAAATAACAGACAAATAGGTCACCAAACTTAGATTTTTAAATCAAAACTCAGGTTTTATTAATTTTATTACTAATATGAGTAAGAATGAAATTACCAAGAACCAAAAGAAAATAGAAGGGTTACTTAAAACAGATAAGTTAAAGGATACCTCCAATTTAGCAAAAAAAAAAAAACATCAAAAAGAAGACTTAAAACAAAAAGAAACAATCAATTTTGTTAATCTAGATATAGAACAAGCAGAAGTTGTTATAAAAAAAAACTAAACAAAAGATTAGAGAGAAAAAAATTCAAGAAAGATTCAGAACCACCAAGAGACAATATATTCAATAATATCTAAACAAATATTGAAAACCTTAACAAGAAGTTAACAAATTAAAAAAAGAAGTTTTAGATGATATCAATGCTGACTTAATCTTTCAAGACACAAGAGAAAACAGCTAGTAGTTTCCAAGAAATAGAATTTGTGACAAAGCAAAATCATTTAAGACAAACATGTCAACATATGTATTGCTAGAAGAAACAAAAGAAGAAAGAGTAAAATATGTACAATGGATTTTGGGAAAAAATTATCACATTAAGACAGTGAAAAAAGTCTTTAAGAAAGGAAATAATTGGATATAAGTAAACTTTGATTGTGAGTATAGTAGAGATATAGCAATAAATAGAATTAAAAAAAAGAAAGAAATTGGCTTAAACTTATTTTGAAAGAAATAAATAGACAAAGCAAAAATATAGATCAACAACTCAAAGATGATAACAAAAAGAAGATAAAAAAGGTTGAAAAATCAATAGAATCAAAAATAACAAAAGAAACAGAAGATATTTCTATAGCAGAAAACAGCAAAAATCAGTACAACTTTTGGACAATTTGGGATTTGCTGACAAACATCAATACAGAAGAAGTAAAACATATATGTAAAAGCATTTAAAAGGTACAGATAGTTCAAATTAAAAGATCTAAATTCAAAGCTTTTGCAGTAATTAAAACAGAACATTTATATAAAGAAAGCATTTCTTGATTTCTACCAATTAGTAGACACAAACTAGCAAGAGTATCTAAAGGCAATGAGGATTATAGTCAATGAGATCTTCAAAGTACATTTACAACAAAATTAAAAGATATTCCAGCAAATGCCTTAGAAATATTACAATTATGCTACTTAAAGAGCTAAGATGCAAAGTCAATATACATACTGTCTAACAGAAATGGTAATCAGAGATGATCAGCAATAATTATCTTTGCTTCAGAAGAAGAAATGAATGCAGCCAAAACCAAACAGATAAGATACAACAACCATCTGGTTTTTTGGAATAATGTTGAAGAAGAAAAAAAGTTTCCTAGAACTAACAAACAAAAACAAAAAAATACAGTAAATATTAATATTTATTTAAATAAGGTTGAATCAGAATATAATAAGAAGATTGAAGAAAAAGAAAAAAGCAAGAAAGAAGAAAACAATATAATGAACAGATCAAACCAAGCAAAAGAAGAAACAGTATCAGACCAAATGCAGGAGTTATTGCAAAAAATTCTATTAAGACTAGATAAGCTTGAAATGAATTATATTAAAAAAAGTTTAGATATAAGTAATATAGAGAAGAATTTTTTCTAAAAGTTGCCATATTTGAATCAAAGAAACAGAGTATAGGAGCACGATCCTCTTTGCAGATAATGGATAGAAATCTAACTACAGATACAAGAAGGCTTCTATACTAACAAAATATTAACAAAAAAGACAAAGAGATAATATTAAACAAAAACACAGAAAAGGTTAAAGGAAAACGAAAGAAAAAAATTAAAGATATAACTAAAGAACAACAAACAAAATCAAAACAGCAATTGCCATTAGGAAAAATCAGTTCAAACGACAAAATAAACCTGAATATAGCAATATATAATATTAATAAACTTAAAAGAAACAACCAAAAAATAGAGGTTTTATATAAATAATTAAAAGACAATAAAATAGATATAATTGGCATAGCAGAAACAAACATTTCAAACAAAGAAGGTTTCTTCATATCAAACTTTCAGAATGACTATAAGGGTTTTTGGTCAAATGCAAATTCAAGCAAAAAAAAAGGTTCAGGTGTAGATATATTTATAAGCAATTAATGGGAAAAGCACTTAGAAGGAATAAGTAGAATAAATGAATATATAATTATAACAAATTTTATATTCAAACAAATAGAGTTAATGATTATAATGATCTATATGTCACTAAATAACAAAGAGAAAAGAAAAAACATACAAAGAATAATAATTAAGAAATACATCAATCAGTTATCAAGAACACAAATAATTATGATAGGTGATTTTAATAGTATACCTGATTATGAGCTAGATAGATCAACAAACTTTAGGTAAAAGTGAACTAAACAAGATCCT